CAGCCTCCCAAGTAGCTGGGATTACAGGCATGTACCACCACGCCCGGCTAATTTTTTGTATTTTTAGTAGAGTTGGGGTTTCACCGTATTGGCCAGGGTGGTCTCAAACTCCTGACCTTGTGATCCACCTGCCTCGGCCTCCCAAAGTGCTGGGATTACAGCCGTGAGCCACTGCACCCTGTCAGCACTACTTGATTTTTATAATGACTGTATATATGGCAATTTCATAAAAAGAGTTAACCAATGCCCTCCATAAATTATATGCTATAGAAATGTGAAAATTGAGAGAAATACAAAAACATAAAAATTACCTTTCTCAGAAACATGTGGCGTGTAGTATTTCCTTCTATTCTGTCTATAAATCATGACTTCACTTACCTGTCTTCTTAATTTATATGGTTAAGGTTAAATTGTATTTATAGTTTTATATCTTTTTTTTCTATATAATCTTGTATATTACCATGTCATTACTATGATTTTTATTATTAGTCCTATTTATATCCCATCACAGGTGTGACAGAATGTAACTGGTTCTTTGTTGTTGGACTTTTACGGATGTTTTATTTTTCTGTAGCATATGAAGTACTTCAATAGTTATTTTTGTGCATAATGTTTTATTATGTCCAAAACCTGTGAGTTTTACCTTCAGTGAAATTCCTAGAAGTGGAATTTTTTATTCAGGTAGTATGAATGTTTTCATGACATTTTCTTTTCTTCCTTCATTTTATCGTATTTTACTTTTATTTTTTACATAATTCTAAATTACATTCAGGAAATATTGGTATACCAATTTATAGTATTGTTACTGATTATGGAATCTTAGGCTCTCATGCAATGGAAATTGACACGAGGCAGAGAAAGTTTCCCAGACAAGGCTTTATTGGGCTTATGCTGGAGGAGGGTGGCCGCACAGGGGCAAGAGTTCCTGGGCTGGCCCTCGGGACAGGTGGTTCCTGGTTTTTAGGGTGACATGGATAGTCATGAGGTGTGTCAGTGGCCTTACACACCCTAGTGGCAGGCACCATGAAACATGTTAGCACAGATGTGTCATGATCTGGGCATGGCAGATGAGCCCTTGGGGAGAGCATTTTAGTAATAGAATGAGGCAAGAGGTCAGGACCGTCATTCTCCTGGTCCTGTGTGCATGTGGGCATCAGGGTTAACTCCCTGGGGTAAGATTTGGGGTGGAATGTGGCTTATCTTGTTTTCTTCCCTGGTGTGCGTAGTTTCACAGTGGGCAGATGTGACGGCATAGGGTAGGTATGGAAAATGCAGAAGTGCATGTGGGCCAAGCCCTGTTCCTGGTGTCTCCTTATTACTTGCATGATATGAGAAGGATTGCTCATCTTTGTCAGTATTGGTGTGAATGGTTTTTGTAATTGCAAAGTTCATGGTTTGAAAAGGTGTCTTTTTTTTTTTTTTTTTTTTTTTTT